TCAAGTTTAAAGAAGCCACAATCTACAGCAGTTACTTTGAGTCAAAGTAATAACAATAATAATAATCAGAATAATAGAGGAAAAATACACTACTACACAGAGCTTGGAAAACCTGGCAGTGGGGGGGAAGAATCCACTCAACAAGCAAGCTCTGCTGCTTTTATAGCCTTCAAGGCCATTACAGAAAAGCTCAAATTATTGCTCTTCATTTACAAGAATACTCCTGATGCAATTTCAATGCCACAAAAACAATTTTTCCATAGAAAAGTCCTAGAAATATCTCTCCTCTTTTGTCCATCCCCATCCCACATACACAGACTCAGGCAACAAATGAGTTTGAAAAACAGAGCGCCTGAATTTGCTCTCTCAAACTGCTGTAAATCTGGAACAGCAACTGAAGTCAATGGAGAATGGGTTTTGCACTAGTTGAAGTGAGATCAGATACAGACCCATGTATTCTAGTGCTCTCTTGTTCTCCTCCCTTTCCTGCAATTCTAATTTAGGGACAAGGGCATAATGCAAAACCTGGCAGTTGAGCTCCATTCCTTTCCCCTCATCCATCCAATATAAGGCATTAAAGCAGTTCTATATGAAATTTTAAGTGTTACTGCTTCTTTATTAACCTGCTTCTTTATTCAGTTACATAAGTCTAAATCTGTAGCACCAACCTGCTCTAATCAAAGGGCACAATGAACTCATTAAATATTTGAAAAATCAGTTAATGCCCATTGTTTTTCCTTGTAATATATACCCACATTACATTCAGATGGAAAGTAGGATTTCTAATTAAACATTATACACATACAGTTAGTCCACCTAAAATCAAACCCTGGAAAGCTTGTTTCTCTATGGTAAGGAAAGCCTCTCTTTGAATTGGCGGGAATGAAGCCAACTATGCTCCATAGTGCACAATACTCACCACACAAAGTGAACAGACCATGGAAGTTATGCACAGGTCAAAGGCATCCTAGGCATAAAGTTACATTAAGCTTTTACACTATAAAGTAGGCACAATGGACCAGCTCTGGCAGTGCAAAGGGGATAAGCAGGCCTGTTCCAGGGTACACTCACCGCTAGTGTACCTCCTCCTGACTGCTCTGAGAACTAGCTCCTTCCAGGTGTAATGCTCTCGTCTGTCACTCATTCACACACCCAGCAGCCTCTCTCTACAACCAGGATACTTCTCTTCACGGCTTGTCCCTCCAGCCAGGTCACTTTGTGTTTTCCCTGCTTCCAGGCTATCAAAGTCCCACAGAACAATCCATTCCAGGCAGTCTTCAAATCCACTGCCTGAGTAGTGGAACCCAGGCCCACTCTCAGCTCAGGGATTCTCTAATCCATGGTCAAGATCAGCAATGTCCCACCTCACTGCCATTTCCTACACTGCCTCTCTCAGACTTCTGCTCCACCGTTCTTCTGGGTAAATATTCCTCAGGGCCTGGATCCCCAGGATTTCTATTCTCCCCTCAGCTTTCCAACTCTAATCCCCTGGGAGCAGTTACAAGCTTCCCCTGGTGCTGCCAACTTCCTGGCTTTATATTAGTTCTGCCTGTTCCTTCTCAGCTGGGCTCATTAATCAGGGGGTTGCTTAGGCCACTTAATTCCCTTCAGCTCTGGGCTATCTGCTTCATTGGCCCTGTATCATCCTCATTAACCCTTTCCAGGCTAGTGTGGGGTGAGCACCCCACCACAGTGCCCTAGTCCTAATAGGAAATCAGAGAATTTCCTTTGCACAGACTAATATCTGAGTAGTATGAAGCCAATGCAGCTAGCTCTACTCCATACATTTCTGGCCACTGGCTGGCTTACTTTGTCTTCAAGGAGTGGCATGGGTGCAAGAAGACTTGTGGTTGGAACACAATGTTTTCCAGTGACACCGGGCAAGCAGCCAACTGGTGTAAGTTAAACCAGCCTTGAAGCTGCCTCGGAAGAGTGGCAAAGGGAAAGCTACCTAGGCTTCCTCCCTCTCGCGTGTTCCCACCGGAAGTTCTGGCCCAATGGCTTTAACAGGGTGTACTTGGAGAATCACATATCTTTTCATACTAAGTAATATAGTTGACATGGAGTATAGTCAGGAAAAAATAAGATAAACACTGTGTGTGTATTTTCATTTTCCTTAGGCTACAGTCATGTCAAATAGTACCTGACCAAAATATAGACCTTGCATTTCTTCTTTTTCGCATTGAACCACCCATCCTTCTCTCCAAAACTTAAATGTGCAGTTTTGCTTTTGATGATTGACCTCTAAGAAGCAATTTAAAGAGTTACATCATGTGTTTCTGTGCATCACTTCCAATCTCATGACAGCAGTCAGAATCAACTGGGTTTTTTTCCCCACCTAAAATGGTATAAAGAAATGCAGTATGGCTTCAATGATTAAGGAAGTCTTTAGTTACAACTAAATTCCACTAATTTTTGTGGACAACATTTTGTAAGTCTACATAATTATATCTTTAGAGAAAGCTTGTAAATAAGATTCTTGTGCAACACAGTGTCTTCCAGGAGTGTATATATTCAAATACCACTTCAAAAGACAAACACAAACAGTTGTTTCTGTTCATAATGCAATACTTCATCCTCCTTTCACTTAAAAACTTCCCTCTTCGCACAACAAACAACATGCCCCTAGGCAGCAAAGTGAGAGAAGTTGGTGCAAAATGCTACCATTCTAAATTGCATGTAACACCCACTTTGTACTGGAAACATAAGTGACTACATAAGGTGTAGGCCAATGATGAATTACATCTCTAGTCTGTGAGGCTCTCTCACACCCCCATCTTTTGCTATATCTTTGCTTTTTTTTTTCAGATTTAAAATGATGAGCACATACATGCAATTCAATGTGTCCTTTCAAATATATATATACTATGCTATAGATCAAAGCTAATGTTCAAAAAATATGTATAATACATAGGTTGAAAAGAGTGTCTGTACATCTAGGTATAGTGCTTAGATTACCCACAAATACAAAGGTTGTTTTTAAAGTCATAAGATACATATAGTGCATAATCAGGAATAACCCAAATTTAGGTGAATGAATTTAAGAATACAGTTTAGATATTTAGCATCCATGCATTCAGGTACATTACTCATGAAAAAAGTTATACAGAGAGTTGGTGGCGGAAAGCAAAATATATCAAGGAGTGAAGATTGTCCCTCAGTAATTGAGAATTTAGGATAGGCTGTCCATTTAGAAAATACAATCCACAAGGAAAGTATTTCAGCTCATCCCCCCTGGTATTGCCAGTGTCCAGTGATGTGTTCTATGTAGATGTCCCTCAACCACCTGATAGCATCTAACACCATCAGCTACGATATCATGAACTTCTCCAATCAGTTGCAGTGCACACATACAAAATGGGAAATGACTGCCTAGGAAGGAGGGCTGCAGAATGGGATCTGAGGGTCCTAGTGGATCACAAGTTAAATAGGAGTGAACAGTGTAACACTGTTGCAAAAAAAGCAAACATCATTCTGGGATGTATTATCAGGAGAGTTGTAAGCAAGACACAAGAAGTAATTTTTCTGCTCTACTTTGTGCTGATTAGGCCTCAGCTGGAGTATTGAGTCCAGTTCTGGGCACCACATTTCAGGAAAGATGTGGATAAATTGGAGCAAATCCAGAGAAGAAGCAACAAGAATGATTAAAGGTCTAGAAAACATGACCTAGGAGGGAAGATTTTTAAAAAATTGGGTTTGTTTAAGTCTGGAGAAAAGAAGATGAGAGGGGACACAATAATAGTTTTCAAGTACATAAAAGATTGTTACAAGAAGGGTATAATAGGCCAGGGAAGGCTAAGCCCCCGAGGGACACCTGGGCCATGGTGGCCCCGCCCCTTCCCCGAGATCCCCCCCACCCACTGCCTGCTGCTTCTGCCGCCTGCCTACCTGCACTCCACTCCCCCACAGGTCCCCGCTACTTGCTGCGTTGCTTCTCTTCAGGGGCGGGGGGGTGAGGAGGGACGCTGCAAGCAAGTTGCAGGCACAGGGGTCTGGTGGGGAAGTGAGGTGGCTCAGCTGGGCACTGGGGTCGCCAGCTTGGCCAGGGGGGCGTGGAGTGCCGACTCTGCCCAGCACTTGGGCGGGGGGGAGCAGCTCAGTCCAGCATTTGGGCTGGGGGGGGGGGGGGGAGTGGCTTGGCCCGGTGCTGGGGCCGGCATGGCGCTCCGGGGGGACGGCTCAACTCAGCCCGGTGCTGGGGCTGGCCCAGCCTGACGCTCAGACGTGGGAGGGAGCAGGAGCAGCTTGGCTCAGCCTACACTGGGGCCAGCATGGCCTGGCGCAGGGGGAGCGGCCTGGCACAGCACTCTCTCCAGCCCTCGGGCTAGGGGGGCTGGTCCAGGGAGGCTGGGGTGGGCAAGTCAGGGCTCCTCTGGTCACGGGGGGGGGGGGCCTCAGGGCACCTCCTGTTATGGGGGCGGGTTTCAGGGCTCCAGTGTGTGGGGGGTGGGGCCTCAGGCAGAAGGGGCGGGGCCAGCAGGCTAGCTTCCCCAAAGTGGGGATTCACTTCACCACCCATGGTTTTCCCTTTCTAGTGAGAATTCACAAAAATCATCAAACTAGTAAGGATGGATTTGCATCCTTCAGCAAAATGATTCTTCCTTTTTCCTTCCTTTCCAGGCTGCAAGATTCCATCCTAATCCTTGTTACTGCCCAGTTCTCCAAACACATAAAATACAAAAATAAATAAAGAGAAATGCCAACATTTCTTTCTCGTAGTGCCAACCTTCCTGTATAAGGCACCCATAACTCCTTTACATATTACAGTACTAAGTGTCCTTTACATTCCACACATTGTACACCTGGCCTTGACCTGATCAGTTTCCACATTTTGAGAAACTATTTCTAATGACATACGTGTGGCTTTCAGACTTTACTCAGTATGAAGGTTGACTGAGGCCTTACATAATAAATAACTTTTTTAAAGTATTATTGTTATTATTATTATCCTCTATAGGAAGCCAGCATAGGAGTTTAGATAACTTTGTTACTTCCAAAGGTGATTAATGAGGTGATTTTAATATCAACAGCTCAGCACCAACATTTTCAAACACTGTTTATGTTACAAAGCGACAAAGCCATTTGTAACTTCTGCAGCTGACAGCTCCAAGATGGGCTCCATCCAGGAGAGATGTTTCCTCCAATTAGGCCATTGTTTATCTTATCCATGACGAAAATAGGCCCCTTTGCTCAGAGCTGTATGCTGTATGTTTCCGACATGGAGTGTTTTATGTCTACTGGTTCCAGAGAGCCTAGAAAATAAACACAAAAATACTTTCCTATGGAGTTAAGATGCATTTCTGGGGAATTAACATCAGTATTTATAAAATGAGCTTCTACATGAAACATCTTTCCTGGAAATGCCCAGCACATTGGAGCATTCTCTTTCTAAACATGGAGAGATACTAAATGGCATAGCTACTGTATAAACAGGCTGTATACCAATGCAAGGAGAAGTTGATTACATTTAAATCAGCTTTTGACAGCTACCATCATAACAATTACGCCATTTGCACAGCATTCAGGTTCTCTTCACAGTTTTGTTCCTCTAATAGTTTAAATTTCTACTAGGTGTAGAGTCAGACTGGTTTGGATAAAACAAGAACCCATCTGAAACGTCATTGCCCCAAACTCAAAACAAAAACAAATTTTGAGGTTTGACTTTTAAAAAAAAATCTATGTATTACTACTATTAATTTTAATGCACTTTTATACTTCCTGGTTCAAGCCAAGACCAGAAATAGAAGTGCTGAGATACCATGAGAAAAGCTGTTCTCATGAACTTTCCAGCTGGACTGGAAGCAGGAAGTACCAAAAATATTGTGAGAGTCTCTTCTTGAAAGTTAGTTTTCCAGACGTAAGAGGTTTGGACAATTCAGATAATAAGATCATCTGAATTTGGGGTGCTGATTTGCAAAGATTATTGGTGCTTATCCAAATCAAATATCTGAGCTTTATTAAGTTATATCGTTCATTTCCATTATACCTTTGTGGTGAGATGAGTTAGCCTGGGAGTTAGGTAGACAGCACTAGAACATAGTTATGTGTTGCTCCATAAGAGGTCAATCCTGCAAGTTGCTGAACACTACGGCTCTGCTCCTGTAGAGCACTTAAAGACATGCTTCACTTTAGGAATACAGTACAGTAAAAGCTGTGTTATCTGGCCCTGTACCAACCGGAAAGCTCTATAAACCAGCATTTCTAATCTTCATAGAAAGTCCGGAGGCACGGTTAGGTGACTCCACCCACAAGTGCCGCCCCTGCAGCTCCCATTGGCCACAGTCCCCAGCCAATGGGAGCTGTGGATCCAGCGCTTGGGGTGGGGTGAGAGCAGCGCGCAGAGCTGCCTGGCCGTGCATCCGCCTAGGAACAGCAGGGACAGGTCGCCACTTGCTGGGACCCACCCGAGGTGAGCACCCCCCACATCCGGCATCCTGAAACCCCTCCTGTGCCCCAACCCCCTGCCCTGAGCCACCTCCTGCATCCAAACTCCCTCCCAGAGCCTGTGCTCCACACCCCCTCCCGTTCCCCAACCCCCAACCCTGCACCCCCTCCCACACCCAAACTCCCTCCTTCTTAGTTAACTAGAATTTTTGACTTACCGGTACCCCCCATTCTCCCAACAAAAAGCTTTTACTGTATTTATAATATCTGCGTGTCTCACTGTCTCTTAACATATTTATCCTCACAACTGCCCTGTGAGGTAGGGAAGTACTACTATTCCCATTCTACAAATGAAGAACTCAGAGGAGCTAACTAATTTACTCAAATCTATGGCGGAGCAGGAGAACTGAATCCCTGTCTCCCAAGTCCCAGGTTAGCCCCCTAGCCACTGGACCATCTTACCTTTCAGCCATGCCAAGGAGTTCAAACTACTCACGTGTGTAAAGTTAAGCACATACTTACATGCTTTGTTGGGTTGGAGCCAGAGTGCTCAGCATCTTGCAAGAGCAGGGCCTTAATGTCAATACTTGGAGTAATATCCTGTTGATTGTTAGAGGTTACTGGAATAAAAGGACTCTTAGTTGTCACTCTGCCAAAATATTATATACTGTAATTAGGACAATGAGAATGGCAACTTTCCCACTTACTCCACCCTTTACATTTCTGCCTTACCTTGCTGAACATGTGCTGCTTTGATAAACAGGTTTTGTAGGTTTGAAAGTTATATTATTGCTGCTAATGGGGATGGACTCTAATATTCCAGGAAGAAAGATTTACTAAAACACTCTCTGGACACTGAAAGTCAGTGCATATTTCATATATTTCCTCTCTTTGATTACCGGGGAAGCTACTGCAGTACTAGCTTTAAGGGGGAGGGGAGGGTAATGGACTCTGTCATGCACAAAATAGAAGTGGGTGGGAGCTTTCTCTGTGCCAGTACAAAGATAGGGCTAAGGAGAGGACTCAAAACTTGTTAATGAAAAATTGCCCCTTGACCCAGAACTTTACCTGAACAAACACTTCAGAAATTTTCATAAATATTTGCTCAAATGAAAAGCTACCTGTGTTCATGATCCTTTCTGAATACTTCATCAAAGAAGTTTAGTGGCAAGTTTAGACAACTAATATTAGAGAATATTCATGGAAGGAGCTAGCGAACAGGAGCAGCTAACAGGGGAGTTTTGCGAGGGACTTCTCCAGGTAAAGGAGAAGCAATTATGTGACCCTTGGGGTAAGTTTGTTGTCTGTTGTGTGTGTGTTTGTTGTGGTGTGGTGTCCTTGCTACTGGACTGAAATACACCGTGTGGTCTGTTTGTTTGGGGGACAGTGTGCTGACTGTGTGGGCAGGGCCGGCTCCAGGCATCAGTGCAGCAAGCAGGTGCTTGGGACAGCCAAGGGAAAGGGGTGGCACGTCCAGTTGTTCGGTGGCAATTCAGCGGCGGGTCCCTCAGTCCCTCTCGGAAGGAAGGACCGGCTGCCGAATTGCCGCCGAAGGATGAAGTGGGGGCGGTAGAGCTCCCGCCGAAGTGCTGCTGATTGCGGCTTCACCACCCACCCCACCCCACCGCTTGGGGCGGCAAAAACGCTGGAGCCAGCCCTGTGTGTGGATGCTGAACCTAGCTGAACCCTCTGATACTCTGACAAATGAAGTGTAAAAATATAATTAGGAAGGCCAAAAAAGAATTTGAAGAACAGCTAGCCAAAGACTCAAAAAGTAATAGCAAAAAAATGTTTAAGTACATCAGAAACAGGAAGCCTGCTAAACAACCAGTGGGGCCACTGGACAATCAAGATGATAAAGGAGCACTCAAGGATGATAAGGCCATTGCGGAGAAACTAAATGAATTCTTTGCATTGGTCTTCATAGAATCATAGAATATCAGGGTTGGAAAGGACCTCATGAGGTCATCTAGTCCAATCCCCTACTCAAAGCAGGACCAATCCCCAGACAGATTTTTGCCCCAGATCCCTAAATGGCCCCCTCAAGGATTGAACTCACAACCCTGGGTTTAGCAGGCCAATGCTCAAACCTCTGAGCTATCCTCCCCAGTCTTAATGGTTGAGGAGGTGAGGGAGATTCCCAAACCTGAGCCATTTTTTTTAGGTGACAAATCTGAGGAACTGTTCCAGACTGAGGTGTCATTAGAGGAGGGTTTGGAACAAACTGATAAGTTAAACAGTAATAAGTCACCAGGACCAGATGGTATTCACCCAAGGGTTCTGAGGGTACTCAATGTGAAATTGCAGGACTACTAACTGTCGTTTGTAAACTATCATTTAAACCACCTTCTGTACCAAATGACTAAAGGGTAGCTAATGTGATGCCAACTTTTTAAAAGGGCTCCAGAAGAGATCCTGGCAATTACAGTCCAGTAAGCCTGACTTCAATACCAGGCAAACTGGTCGAAGCTATAGTAGAGAACAAAATTGTCAGACACATAGATTAATATAATTTGTTGGGGAATAGTCAATATGTTTTTTTGTAAAGGGAAATCATACCTCACCAATCTACTAGAATTCTTTGAGGGGAGTCAACAAGCATGTGGACCAAGGGGATCCAGTGGATATAGTGTATTTAGATTTCCAGAAAGCCTTTGACAAGATCTCTCACCAAAGGCTCTTAAGCAAAGTAAGCAGTCATGGGATAAGAGTGAAGGTTCTCTCATGGATTAGTAGCTGGTTAAAAGATAGGAAACAAAGGGTAGGAATAAATGGTCAGTTTTCAGAATGGAGAGAGGTAAATAGTGGTGTCCCCAGGAGTCTGTGCTGGGCCCAGTCCTATTTAACATATTCATAAATGATCTGGAAAAAGGGGTAAACAGTGAGGAGGCAAAATTTGCAGATGATACAAAACTACTCAAGATAATTAAGTCCCAGGCAGACTGCAAAAAGCTACAAAAATGGCAGATTAAATTCAATGTTGATAAATGCAAAGTAATGCACACTGGAAAATATAATCCCAACTATACACCTAAAATGATGGGGTCTAAATTAGCTGTTACCACTCAAGAAAGAGATCTTGGAGTCATTGTGGATAGTTCTCTGAAAACATCCACTCAATGTGCAGCGGCAGTCAAAAAGGCAAACAGAATGCTGGGAATAAGTAAGAAAGGGACAGATAATAAAACAGAAAGTATCATATTGCCGCTATATAAATCTATGGTACGCCCACATCTTGAATACTGTGTGCAGATGTGGTCGCCCCATCTCAAAAAAGATATATTGGACTTGGAAAAGGTTCAGAAAAGGGCAACAAAAATGATTAGGGGTATGGAATGACTGCCGTATGAGGAGAGATTAATAAGATTGGGACTTTTCACGGTGGAAAAGAGACAACTAAGGGGGGATATGATAGAGGTCTATAAAAGCATGACTGGTGTGGAGAAAGTAAATAAGGAAGTGTTATTTACTCCTTCTCATAACACAAGAACTAGGGGCCACCAAATGAAATTAATAGGCAGCAGGTTTAAAACAAACAAAAGGAAGTATTTTTTCACAGAATGCATAGTCAACCTATGGAACTCCTTGCCAGGGGATGTTGTGAAGGCCAAGATTATAACAGGGCACAAAAAAGAACTAGATAAATTTATGGAGGATAAGTCCATCAATAGCTATTAGCCAGGATGGGCAGGGATGGTGTCCTTAGCCTCTGTTTGCCAGAAGCTGGGAATGAGCGACAGGGGATGGATCACTTGATGATTACCTGTTCTGTTCATTCCCTCTGGAGCACCTGGCATTGACTACTGTCGGAAGACAGGATACTGGGCTAGATGGACCTTTGGTCTGACCTAGTATGGCCGTTCTTATGTTAAGGCAAATGTTTGACTTATAAATATGAGCATTTGCAATAAAAACTATTTAAAAGATGTACACTCATCCATCAGGGCATAGAAACAAGAACATGTGAGTTATATGTCCAGTCAAACGGCTTGTGAACAAGCTACAAAACAATTATTTGCAGGACTTATTCAATAGATAATTTCAAAAAATACCTTTGCAAAACATCAATACCTTACAGTTTGCCAACGAAAAACAAGCTAAATTCATTCAAAAAAAATTTCCTCTCAATTATTTGCTTAGTCTTATGCAGAAGTGTACAGAGAGCTATAGCTATTATTCGCCAAGTCTAACCATATTAGCCTAGTCTACCATAGCAAGGTTAAATTATTTCAGGGCCTACATACCATATCCTAGAAGTTAATACATTAACAGTGGCAGATAAGATGGTGGCAAACAGAGTACATTATGACCTTTCATTTCAGATGTGGACCTTGCCCACGAAAGAAGTGAGGTTCTTACCCACGAAAGCTTATGCTCCCAATACTTCTGTTAGTCTTAAAGGTACCACAGGACCCTCTGTTGCTTTTTACAGATTCAGACTAACACGGCTACCCCTCTGATACTTGACCTTGCCACAGTTACTCATGCCTGATTACTTCCAAAGGGATTAGTGCAATGCTCTCGCCTGAAGACCACTTGGAAACATCAGCTAATGCAGAATGTAACTGTCAAATTACTCAGCTTGATCTCTGGCATGGAACACGTTGCACCCATGCTCCATAACCTGCCTTGGCTTCCCTCTGCAAGTTTAGTTGACTCTGACATTGTCCCTTTTTGCCGTTTGACAGATGTGTTTCAATTAAAAAGTGAGCAATTTACAGGTAGCTCAGTTGGATAGATTGGGAGTGGGATCCTATAGAAGAATGATTCTCAAGCCAGCACACTCCCTCGTGGCTGGGTGTGGTGTAGCAAACTCTCTTTCTCTGGCGTCCTCCGCTGACAGTTTGTCTGGCCCTATGGCAGTCTGCTTTTTCTTGTGACTTGGACCTCCAGCCCTTTCCAAGGGCCTAGCATTAGGACTAGCCCTTCACCTTCAGTGTCCCCATGGTTTCTTTCCCAGAGTGAGGGAACTCTAAACTTCTTCCTTCTAGGCCTGGGTTGCCAACATTATATTTCAAAAATAGGAACAGACCTCAGTTGTCCTCAGTCTTCAACTAAGCCTCTGGGGACAAGTCTCCTCTCCTCACCCATCCTTCCCGGGGGTTCTCTCTCTGCAGATCTGGGCGCTGCTTGCCAGACAGAGAGATGGGTCGGCCAAATTTGAGTGATGTTGGCAACTTGACCTGGTGGGTGGGGTCACAATGTCACTCACATTTGGCCCAACCTCTGTCATACGAAATGGAGGGGTGGCCAGGACTGATGAGAGTGTCATTGCGACCCCCATCCACCAGAACAAGCTGCCAACCAGTAGCACTTTGCAAAGGAAAGTGCTGGAGCATCACTCCATCCTGAATTTCAGGTGCCGGAACAACACTTCAGACTACTTCAGACCCAGCAGAACTGAAATATGGGATAAAAGGCATCCTGTACTGATTTATTATGGAACCGGCAATTTGTTATTTAAATAAGGGACATCCTTTATAACATGGGGCTGTTGGTGACCTGGGTCCCTCTCCTGGACCTCCACTGTAGCTTTTACTTCCTTTCTGAAGAAGGCCCCACTCCTCCCAAGCTGAGTTTGATAACAAATCAAGCTTTACATACACCCCAGGTGCAACAG